TCTTCCGGAACCATTCGTGCTGATCCGATGAATGATTCGGAACGAAGTCCAGGAAAACCTTCAGTCCCTTCTTGTGTGCCGTCTTCAGCAAGCTCTCCAAGTCCGACAAGGTGCCGAATACGGGGTCAATATCGACGAAGTTGGAAATATCGTAGCCGAAATCGACCATGGGGCTTGGGTAAATCGGGGATAACCATAATGCGTCGATGTTCGACTCGACCAAATGATCCAACTTGCTCGTGATACCTGCGATCAAAGAACGGTTGAAAATGAAATACGCCATTTTTAACAGAAAAAGATTTCGTCCAATTCGAGTAATAATTATCCACTGAACAAAATGGCAAATTGTATCTGAACCCTCTATTTTTCGCTCATTTTCACTCAAAATATATACAATTCCTGGCAGAGGATCGGTAATGGAAACTTAAACGACGAATCTTTATTCAGCGATAATATGCAAAAATATTAGAAAAAGAAATGGAAAAGGGGGAGAAATTATTCGTTAAATTCCACGTATGGTGTATATAATACGTGGCCTTCGAATTATTTTCCAATGACGTCGCCATCCGTATCGAATCACAGGGTTGTAAATCTTGTTTCGTAATGACTGGAGCACCGGCGGAAAAGTCTTTTCCGGAACACGTCGCTTTAAAGCCGAGTCAAAGCGGCCGGAAGAGGCAAACGCAACGAGCGTTTCGTTAAAATTTATTTTCACGTTTAAGCGACATTAACTTCTTCCGTCGTGTCGCGGCCGGTTGTCCCTCGCTTTGCTCTGCTTTTTCTCGATTAGCGCCGCCATGCTTAGGTCTCCCTGTTAATTACATCCGCGCCTTGTTCGTCCGTGTCGTCGTTCTTGCGTAATCACGAGAGCAGATAGAAAAAGATGCGAGAAGGAGAAGCAATTATGATCCCGTTTACGAACCGTGACCCAACACGGTTCCATCGTTTCAAGAACGTTTCGAGACTAATTACTCGTGCGGTGGGGGGTAGCCTTTCTGACCAAAGGATGCGAAACTTATGCTTATGCATACCCGTTGAAAACACCTTGGATTAATCGTAGTCGCTTTTATCGAGCAGTAAAACAAATAACCAATATCGCGACAAGATGATGTAGTGTGGAGAAACAGGCAAGGGTTGAAATCGATGTTGGTTGAAAGTTAGTATAAATCGGTACGAAATTTAAATTCGTCGTTAGTTTGATTACAGTGGAAATTCGTATTTCACAGAGATTATCGCTGTTTGAAAATTTATTGTGAAAAATAATTTTGCAATAAGACTCCGAATTAATAAGGAGCAATCGAATACTTTGAATTAATTTCGACGAGTTCGATGAAATTTATAAAGATAAATTTATAAATTGTAGATATACTCGAAGCAAAATACCATTTTGGGGGATAATGCACGTCTAGTTGTTTCTAGTTAAAAATTATTAAAAAGAGGAACAAACCTTTGAGATCACCAATGCCATCTCCATCGCTGTCCTTGAAGCTCCTAGGGTAGATCTGGTAGAGCGAGAAGTCCACGATTTTGTCGGTCAACCTTTTACTGGGCCATTCGAATGCAGCGACCAGGGACAACGACATTAAGCAAAACACTATTACCGCCCTCATGTCCACTGAATACATAGAATGCACCAGTGAATATGAAATTAGTCGGCTAATTAGTCGCGTGACTTGGGGCTTGGAGCACCCAGTGCACAACGTCGTAACCACGTAGCTCGATATTCGCCGTTCGATACTCTCTGTTCCCGTTGTTTACGCGACCACCTCGTCGAATTTTAAACTCACGAACCGACCCCCAGGCCACGATTCACGAGTCAAGTCAGACCTGGCGAATTACGGCTCCGACTGTTTCCCCGGATCTCCAGTAACCGCACAAAGACTAACGTCGCGTTACGTTGCCTCGTGCTATACCGTAATTATCTCGCTACGATCAAGTTCTCTCGGATTATTTCGTCAACGTGGTAATATCGACTACGACCCAGTCAACCGACGCCTTCTCTTTTATAACAGCCTTATGTAATACGCAGCTGTCTAGAGTTCCAATGATCGGTATCCACGTATCGGTCGATTGATCGTCCGTGTTAAATTTGATCAAAACACTCTTCAAGCCTGCCTCTGATACAATCGACGGGTTCAAACCTCGCGTGCACGTGTGTACACGTTAGATCACTTTTTCGATTCATTCATCGAGATTACGTCTCTGCCTGCAAACAGTTCCGGGGAGTTTCTTTCATCTGCGCATTATGTATGAAAAATGTTTCGCGAATATTCGTATAATACTCCTTCGTGGAATCTCGTTTGCAACAGAGTCATCTTCCAGGAAACCACCTTCTTGTCTCGTAGATAAAAGGTATTCGAGTCGCCGCTTTGTACGATGAGAGCGCATGCTAATTTGAGAAAATGTAGCTCTTAAGTTACAGGAATATTGTGTTTCCTCGCAATGTTGAATTTAATAAACTCGTAACATCCAGCGTGTATAGAAAAATTAAAGTACGCCAAGTATGTATCTTCGAGTGTGTACCTTCGAGCACAAAGATTCTGTTCTACAATGTAAATTCGCGCAGTTATCTAACAAAATGAATTTTTACAGCATGGAAGGAAGCGAAAGAAAGGTTGGAAAGATATTTTCTCGTCGACGGGAATATCCCATCGAATGAACGGAAAAATTCTTCTTCTATATTTCCTCTGTCCTCGAAATCGAACCTCCGCAATGACAGACGGATTTAACTCCGTGGCTTATCCGACTGGTTCGAAATTGAACGGAATTAATTTGTGGCATAGTCTAACACCCTTTGCGTTACCGATTCCTGTCTGGATAACCGAGCGAAATACGTAAATTATGCGGATAAGTGAATCACATGTACCCTCGTCCATGAGACTTCGTGGATTTAAATGCCCGATAGTTATAAAATGATTAAATAACCGATATGCTGGCAAATTCGAATTAGCGTTTAATAACCGAGTCCAATTATACAGGAGATTAAATTGTACCGTACTTTTGACAGATCTTTAAACGAAACTACCGAAACCTTTGTGTTTATTTATTTATATTTATCGCATATGCAGAAATGGTCACCACGCTGTCGCGTCAAAATGGCGAAATCGATCAATTAACGTCCATTGCTGTTCGTCGAGGGATCGCAGGAATAAATTAGATTATCTACAGATTCGCGAGACAGTAGAACGCATCAATTTATAGAATGCACGAGCAAATGGGATACACGCACGTAAATACGCTGTTCCTATCGAGGCGGTTCGAAATTCTGCAATATCGTCATTGTTTACTGTGTTAATAACGTGTACCGAATCGATATATAAATTGCAGAAAATCGAAAAATCCTGTGACTAGTGGATGAACTTATTTCGAAACTTGTCCGAGATAATTGATATTTTAATTCATTCAGATTGACGATTTTATACGTGTGCGTTTCTCTTCTGGATCTTTGTTTCCCTGAAACTTTGTTTTACCGAGGAAACGAAGAAGGAATGAAGCAGTAAAAGGAGATTCATCTTGTAAACGGTTTATCTTGTACAAAGGAAATCTACGTTTCTTTGCAACGAATCTATTAAACGTACTCGATTTGATAATATTCTGTTTACAAGTTTTTGATGGTAGTTTAAGATAGCATCGCAAAGATAGTTATTATGAAAGAGAGTTTTAAATTCCTAAAATACTATACTAGAATTATATAAACGAAGAGAGTGGTTTTGAACTGTTGTCGCGTAGCTGCAAAAGTCGTATCTTAATAAATAAATTTCGCTTCTATCTTCAGCCTAAAATCGATAGCGAGCGAAGAAGCGAATACGATGTTTAATTGCAAATTTAATTACCTGTCTAGCCCTTGGATATCTTTTGTATCAGTTACGCTAATTCCACCGTTTCGATTGCAATGGGTATTTTATTGAAACGCAAAAAGGTATGGCGTTCATGCTTGCCTGTTTTTAATCATACCGATTTCTCTTCGTCGAATCGAAAATTTACGCCGACTTTATAACGGTGTTCTTTTGTGCATCAATGAAATTCTTTGAGAACAAACGAAGAACATTTCGTCCTTCGATTATAAAATCGATCGTATCGAATATATCACCGATTCGATACGGTTACATACTTTGTGTATTTTCTTCCAACGTTTTAAATAAATAACGTTATTAAAGGGATACCATTTCGTGAATGATAATGAAGGAATTCTCAACGAAGTTCATCAAGTGGACGGAAGGTCTGTGTGTCCTTTAAACTGTTTCTCCAGCTTAGATTTACGATTGTTAGTTTACGATTGTTCTATTTATTGAAAATACTTTTCCCATAAACGAAAGTTGCTCCAAGTCATTCGAGATTCATTTAAAACCAAGCGACGATCGTCCAAGGTCATGTCAAGGTCACTTGGAGGCCACTAGAGGTTACGTGAGCAGCTCAGTTCTAAACACAAAGTTGTTACTAGGCAGTCGTTTAAGGACACTGGTTTGAGTCTTCCACTATGTAAACATGTAATTTAATATACGCAGAAACGAAATATAGATCGTGACAATCAAGTGTCCATGATGCGACGATCGTTTTATATCGCAATTAAAGGTTTTCCAGCTAACTTCTAATAGACTACTAAAGTCTCGGGCACGTAGAAGAAATATTTAATTAAAGGATAAATATGCAAATACGTGTGTATGTAGACAGGTACACGTCTGAACGAGCACCGTACAGGTTCATACTAATATTTGCAAACAAGAGTTACATTATGCATACACACCGTGTGCAACATTTTGCGTAGAGACGTGGTCCCCTATACTCACTGACAGAGAGATTTGCACCAACAGGGAACTCTCAAAAGTCCTCGACTAAATACGTCATCCGACCTGTCTTCTAGTGTTCCAGCATCCATGACTTTACCTTTCTAAGATGCTCTACCGATGAGGAAGCTGTTACGGAAGCCATTCCTAATCCTCTTCCTTCTCTTCCCTATTTTTCTCTCCTTTCTTTCATTACAGTGTCACATTATTCGTTTTTACTACTACATTGCCTCCCAACTGGCTCTCCTATCTCGTGTAATCACAAAATGCGTATCAAGTAACCTTCATAGCAAGAGATTGCTTCAAAACTTGTTATCAGTGAATTCAAATTCGGTGTAACATAAACAAGAATTAAATCGTCACGGAATTGTCACGGAATTAACGTGCTAAAGATCGAGGAACCTTATCGCAAAAATTAGTCACGGATAGAGATAAGAACATTTTCGAGTACAGTCTGACTCGACATTTGGCTTCGATCGATTTAATGCATACTTTCATTGATGAAGATTTTGGGACTTACGTCGTAGATAAAATTCTATGTACCGTTTGATGTGGACTAAAGGATTACGAATACTTCTGTGACTCACCGAACGTACCTACTAGACTGTCTGTGAAATAGATGGCTTAGCGAGAAACGTTTACATTATTACGGTCTCGAATTATCGTATATTATTACGCTTTCACCCAATTTAGTTTCGCCTAAACACAGTGGAAACTAGTTGGTAATTCGAGGCGTAACGTCAGCACCACTATCCACCTCAATTCGACATGATAACAGAGGAACAAAGACATAACTGACGTTACTGACCTACACATGCATCGACCCTCTGTGTCAGTGACAAAAGGAACATCCATCAGGACGTTCATAGTTTATTTATCTTACCCACGAGCTTGTTCAATCGAGTTGCGTAAACAGTAAACTAATAGAGTCGAACACACGTTACGGGTGACCCAAAATATCGCGATAATTATTACCCGTGTTGCTCGAAACGATGCCTAAACGAATTTTATACAACCATCTGCTTTACCAATCACGGATCGAACATTGAAGACCGAACGAAGATCAAACGAGATGGTTAAAGGACTGCTGTTGTCAGATTCATGCCACCATTTATGACACTATGCCAATTACATTTTCGAGTCGAGAAAAAGAGTGTCGAACGATTGGGAAAGTTTCGTATTCTCGAAAGCCTGTTCCTGAATTATTGCTTTCGATCCTGGATCGACAGAGTCGTGTTTGGAGAAATTATAAAGTTCCGGAATCTTTTCTATTGAATTATAGAACTCCTGAAAGCGAAGTTCAGAGTACCGATAGATTTTTAAAGTTTGCAAGATCTCTAAATTTCACGCGAATTTATAAGGATCCACGAAACAGCGAGGATAGAAAATGGAGAATTTTCAACCTCATCGCCGCAATCTTCCATCCTCAGACACGGAGATTGCGGGACAATACTCGGTCTGTCCGCGGTAAAGGGAAGCATTCTCGTACTACCCGAAGCGGCAAGACGCACCACAGACCACCACAATGTCCTAGCAATGCTTCGGACAACCCGAAGTCGTGGAACCACAAATTCAGTGTCTCGGGAGAAGTAGAAGCTGCCTCGGATGACTCAGAAGTCGTCAAACATATCACGGTGCATCTTAGACTATGAAAACACCAAGTCCATTACGCGACAGCCTTAGAATCCCGATTGAACCAAAAGCAAGTGAGAACTTGTAATAACAGCTTCAAGCGATATCAAGATGTTTGGACACGAGTCCGAAACCGTGTATTCAACTGTATAACCTTTCGTTCAGTACAACAGCTCGATACGTAAGTTCGATACGTACG